GTAATTCAATGGTGAAAATGAGCTAGGTCTGCTAACTTCCCCTTAATTGCAAGTCTGACTAAAATGTTACCTAGAATGCTGCAGCATTCACTACCCTTGTTAACAGAAACTCTGTTATTGCATAAAATTCTTCTGAATTAATTATGACTAAGGTTCCTTAAACTATTTTCAGCATATTCCTATGTGAATCCAACTTCCAGAATGCATATTTAAACTCAGGTTTCTTTAAGTTATGCAAGGTGAATAATATATTCCTATATCATCCACTAATCAACAACTAAGCAAGGTTATTGAACAAGCATCACTCATGTTAGATTCGATTAAAGCTAACCCTTCCAGTATTAATCTTAATCTTGTATCCTAAAATTGATGGCCAGTCAAGAATAGAAATAGGCATTAATACACATGAATGAACCGGAATAGTAAATTAATAACACCTCAGAAACACATTGTCAACGTTGCAATCTTTGTTCCATTAGCAAACCTAGCTAAAACAAATTAGTTCATCATGAGATTTACAGAATTCAAAGCTCCAGAATAAGCCATGGCTAAATTAGTAACTAAATACCAAAAGATAATTAAGCTAACAGAAAGAAGAAAGAGTTTCAGCTGGATTTGGGATTCCTCTTTGTCCGGCCTTGCTTCCTTCAACCTCCTGCTTTCTTTCATTCACGTCCTTGTATTCAGTTTTCTGGAGATAGGTACTCTATGTTTTCTGGAGAGGGGTGCTCTCTGTATTTTCTCTGTGTGTCCAGCCCCATAATACCTCCTTTTCTATTTCTTCTCTCTCCTCTTTTTTCTCTTTCCCCTGGCGGCTGCCTTTTGTTTTTTAGAAAGCATTTTTTTCTAGGGCAACACAAGGGCTGAAGTGTCACTGATGATGTGCACAGTGGACCCATTTGACACCTCCTCAGCCAGCTCACACGGATTCCTTTCTGCCTACTTTATCCAGCTAGTGCGCTGATGTCAATCAGCTGCCAGCTATTCCCAGAATGCTGCCTAGAATGCTGCAGCATTTTAGCCCAGCAATTTCCTGCAAGGTGCTCTCACAGCATTAGTCAGTTTTTTCACCTCATTTTCCTTCCAAATTACCAACTTTCACTTCAAGAGGTGCAACAATATGGAATTAAACCAAAGTAAGTGCAAACTTTACAAATCTAAATTAAAACACACAATAAACAAGAACCATCACTCAAGGACACGTAATTTTAAGCTATAAAACCAGTGGATAACTCTAATTTCTTAGAGTTATCATATTTGAATTTAAAATTTAAGTTTTGCTACAGTAAAAAGTTATCAGAAACAGTCACATTTAACTTTTTTACTACAGTAAAAAGCTCTTACATAAAGTCACATCTCAACTCGAATCAGCGAACTAATCGGGCCCTAAGTATTGTAAACTTTTCTTCTTATTTTTTAAATTTAAATTTTGATTTTATTTTAAAAAACAAAATCAGATCGAAGTAATAGGTTGGGCTTTTCAATAAAGGCATGGCGCGATGGTCACTACTCATTGGGCTGGGTGCACGGAGGCGGCGACTCTGCTAGCAGGGAGCGGCGGTGTTGAAAGGTGGCGTGGGCGTGGGTTACAGGGCAGAGATGCGCGATGATTCAGAAAAGAGACGAGATTAGTGCTGCACAACCCTGATCGTGGAAGGCAATTGCGCGATCTGTGGAAAGGTGGTAGGCCGTGACTACGGGTTGTGGTGGTGGGTCGACCGGTGTGAGGCTAAGGTGGCGGATCTACTATAGTGGTGACCAATGGTGGGTCTGATGTGTTTTTTATGTTTTTTATTTTTTTTTGTTTTGTTTTTAATTAGTCTTTAAATTTTATTTGATTTATGTGATTTCATATTAAGATTAATATGTTTTTAAATTAATAATTAAGGTTTATATTTTAAATTGTTTTTCTTACCCTTTTAATGGTATGTCACGTCAGCTTTTTGTTAAAATTATAGACGGAGTTGGATGAAGGAGGCAATTTGATCTATTTTTTTATATATCAAAGAGTGTTTTGATTCATTTTAAAAATTCAGGGGGCACTTTGAGGTATGGTACATAGTTCAAGGAGTATTTATGAAATAATCCTTTTAATTACTGATAGTTCATATTGTTTTAGCCGTTATAGTAATTTTGTAATGCATGTTCTAAAATTTTAACATGCTCCAAAGTTACAAAGCAGGGATTCTATTGAAGAAGTACTTTTTTAATTGGGAAAAATTGGTTCATTTAGTTCATAGATTTTGAAAAAAAAAAAATTAAATAAAAAATTAAATTTTATGAGAAAAAATATTGTATCAAAATGATTTAAACCGCAATTAAAACTTATAAAACAAACCCATGGTAAACAGTTAGATACTTGATGAAAGTTAGTAGAAATATTAGACATCATTAAAACAAAACTTGAAAGCATTTGTCCGAAATTTTATATATAATTGAGAATTAAGTGGGGAAATTTCTACTTTGTTAAAAAAGTATATTTGAATTTTCTCAAAAAAAAACATATTTTAATTCTCCAAAATATATATAAATATATATGACTATTATAAAAAAAAAGGTAAATTGCACGAATGATCCCTAAACTCTTTAAAAGGTGACAGTTTGATCCATAAACTTTTTTTTTGACGAAATAAACCCCAAACTATTTAAAATGATGCAATGTAGTCATTTCCGTCAGATGTCGTCCAAAAAGTGACGGCATAATAACCTAAAAGGGTGAACATTATGGTCTCTTACTTCTTTATGAGGTGATTTTTTTAGTCCCAATCGACTTTAATAGGTTAGGATTTTGTCCATATTTTTGAACGACATTTAACGCAAAAGGATTACATTGCACTCTTTTAAATAGTTTGGGGCTTATTTCGTAAAAAAGAAAAGTTTGGGGACCAAACAATCACCTTTTGATAAGTTTGGGGATCATTCGTGCCAATTACCCCAAAAAAATATTATAAGAGGAACTTTTCATTCTCTCTTCTTTTTGTGGTAGTTTTGGTTCGAAATACCTTCTTTTTTTTTTTCCTAAAAACACTTATCGGTCGCGTTTGGAACTCGTTCCAAATGATTCTGTTTTTTGTATGAAAATAGAAATGAAAACATTTTCAATCTTAGGCAAAAATCATTTTTAAAAATGTGTTTGGTAGTTTTATCAAGAGATTATTTTCAGTATAAGAAAAAACTAAAATTCTATTTGGTTATACATTTTTTAAAACATCTAATAGTATTTTAAATAATTATTAAATAAGAAAATAAAAATATTTCGTTCTTATATATGTAAAGAAATAACCCAATAGAATAATTATGTATATATCTCTCTCTGTTCAAGAAAGAAGAAAACGAAAATAAGAAATGAAAAACGACTCATTTTTCATTTCTCTCTTAATTCACATGAAACTAAAAAATTATTTTATTTCCGTTTTTTGTCTTTGATTGCTTCAAATGCTATCTTCTCCTTATTTTCATTTTTTCTTTTTTGAAAAATATGAAAAATGTTTTTGGAATCAATTCTAAACACGCTGGTCGTTTCACAGACAAAAAAAAAAAAGCTCATTGTTTCTATTCTGAAAATTATCTCGTTCATGTATCCTTTCGTACCAAACACATGTCGTGTAAGATATTAAAGGTTTTCTTTGTCGTTTAAGGGATACTTACATGTCATTTCTCCTGTCACATCTGTTGTTTGGGATTTAAAATTTTAAAAAAGTAATGTCGACTAGTAAAAAGTTAAGGGTCCATTTGACACGTATACTTGAAGTCATAATTCTGATTTTATTTCAGTGTTTTTTATCTTACAAAGAATTTGATTAAAAAAAAATTTCTCTCATAAAGGGTCCATTTGTTTCATATATTTAAACTCAAATCATTGATTCTGCTACAGTGTTTTCCTATCGTAAAAAATTTAAATTTCAAACGTTAACATAAAAAATTATGGTTAAGTATACCTTCTAAACAGACCCAAAGTTCCCGCTAATGAATGAGAGACACTTACTTGAATGTGTAAATCAAACGGACCCTAAGAAAACAGCATCCCCTTTGCTTGTGAATATTTGTAGTCGTTTAAATCATAAGACAATGTGTCGTTCTGTGTTCAAAGTTTATTGTCTAATATTAAGGAGTAAGAACATGGTTTTCTTTTGATAGTTTGTTGTTGTTTGACATGTTGTTTGTTTTTTCTTTTTCCAAAAAAAAAAATGTTTTTCATCTAAAAGTTTGTTGTCTTTGAAAAGTAACAACGACATGTAGTTCTAGTTTTCAATGTTGATGACGTTTATATACAACCCGACGTGTCGCTTCCAAATTTTGTTGTCGTTCAAGTCGTAAGCGATGAGTCGGTCCTTGCCTAGAGTTTCTTGTATTTTATGTCAAAGTAACGACATATCTTTCTTTCATTAATTTGTTGTCGTTGTCCTTATAAGCGACTTGTAGTTTGTAATTAGAGCACAAATACTTTTTTTTTTAATTTTTATTTTCTATTGGATATTTAAAGTCCTAACTCCTACATAATACAGATTATTTTCATATTAATAAGACTTCTATACCTTGGAACTTAAATATCAGTTTTAAATCGGTAGCATGAACTTATGCTTTATATAATTTAGGTTAAAAAACATTAATACCGCATTAACACATTAAACATTAATCCAACATTCAAATTTTCTATGTAAATTCAACTCAAATTTTCTTCGGTCCATAGCCTCTACTATTTTTCTTATTTCACTTTAATTAATTCTTATTAAGGGTAAAATGCCCAAGTCCCCACATTATCTAAATACAAGTATAATCACAAGCATGTTCTCCCTCCTCAAAGTCTAATAATTCTTACTTAAACCACCTTATTTTATAAATTATGACACGTACACTCTATACACCATTCAAACATCTTGGAGTTACTTTTCGCTCAAGAAAACTGCATAAAGATGGACTGATGGAGATACGCAAAACTAACTAAACCACAAAAGTGAAAAAAAAAGGGCAAATATGATAGGGAATTATAAACCATGGCAGACAAATAATAACCCTTTAAATCTTTTGATCTAAGAGTGGGGAAAAGAATACAAAAAAGAAACAAAGCAGAAGCTAGGACCAAGTATACACGCACAATTAAACTATAACACAATTCCAGTACACTCTTCTTCGTATTCTATACAATATGGACCAGAGAAACAGCATACCAATCGATTCACCAATCAAAATATATATTATTTATATATTCACAGATTTACATTAAAAAAAAAAAACGACACTAAAAAACTAAGTAAGATTGATGAAATGATCAAGTCATAACAACAGATCATCTCCAAAGAGGTAGAGAAGCCTCTCAACAGCCCAGCTGGGCTGCGATCTGGCAGCGGCCAAGCTCAGGCTTTGGGACTGTGAAGGGGTCAGAAAAGGCGCCCTGCAAAGCGGGCAAGTCTTGTGATGGTCATGGTCAAGCCATCTGTCAAGGCATTCTCTGTGGAAGACATGGCAGCAGTTCCTCAGTTCTCTAACCTCGTCGTTTGTCCTCAATCTGTTCAAGCACACAGCGCATGTGTCGTTGTCGTTTCGCAATCTCTCCGTGATGTCTCCGAAAGTTGTTAGGACTAAACTGTCTCTTATCAATTGTGTTGAAGGAGAAGAAGAAGGAGAAGAAGGGAAAGGAAGGTTTTCAGATTCCAAGAGATTTGAAGTAGTACTATTGTTGTTTCTATTTCTAAGTCTGAGTACCCATGACACAACCCATCTCATGATTGCAATTGCAAGAGCTGTTTTGTACAGCATGTGTGTTACAATCTCGCTTAAGGAAAGATCATCCACAAACAAACCCATTTGAGAAAAACCAATGATTATGCAAAAAAATAATAATAATAATAAAAATAATGAAAACAGAAAAAGCAAAATGAATTAGCAGAGAATAAGAGGAGGAGGAAGGAAGGAAAAGGGGAAGATTTCAAGAGCCTTTGGCTTCCTTATAAAGACTCAAAAAGTTGATGCTTACTCTAGTAGAAGGAATCTCTTTTTTGTTTGCCTTTTCATTTGTTGAGTTATTTTAGTCACAATAGTTGTGCATACTTCACCAATTGCCAAGAAGTGAGTGTCAATGACTCATCACTGGCTCCCATGTTTTGAAGGTGTGTGCGCCTACACGTCACATGGGCGGTGGCTCCATGGCTGTAAACTTTTCTTTTTCTTTTAATTTCTTTAATAATATATTTGCTTTATTTATTGTTTACTTAAAGGAAAAGCAACTGGGGTCTGCTGATCTTAAAAAGACTACACTATCTTTTTCCATTGTGGCTTTATTAGCGAACAATATATGGCAAATAACATCATTAGCACAATCCTCTAATCATGGCCAAAAAATATTTAAGCAAAAATTAGCATAATATCTACTCTCTCTCTCTCTCTCTCTCTCTCTCTCTCTCTCTACGCGCGCGTGTGTGTGTGTGTGCGCATATATGTTTAATAGATACAGAGAGAGAAAGAAAGATCTAGACCAAATTGTTTGGTTGAACAGAAAGGGTCCACCACATCACACCACAATCAGACAGGTTTACTTGCTTTTCATGGTACGTGAGCATGAGCCAATGGCAAGCGTGTTAATTCAATACCATCCTAGTCAGATCCCACAAATGCACCATCATTTCCATTACTTTATGAAAATAAAAGAAATTTCCAAGACAAAACCAATATCACTGTGGCTCAGACAATCATAAAAACACATGTATAAACATCATTGAACACGTCCTGCCCAACTTCCCCCTCCCTAGAAAGATAATTAAAAGAAAAAAAACTCGAAGAAAGATCGAGACTTATCCATGATTCTAGCATCATCGTCATCCACAGTAGCTCTGACCAGCTTTTGATATTTTCACAGCCTGCAAATTTTGAAACAAAAGGTGCTGACGATTACATTGACTGCTACATGGTCTAATTTCTTCGATTGGGAAGGAAAGCATATTGCATATGCGCATATGTTCAATCTTATCTGCACGAGCAAAGCTGATATAAAGAAAGCGTTTTTCTCCCCTTTTTTATTTTTATTATTTTTTATTATTTTCTTTTTTTTAAAGGGAACTACTGTAAAGTAAGGATATCTTTATTGTGACTCCCATGAATTTGTACCCGAGTGCTTTTAACTTTGATTCTTACATAATGCAAATGCATGTCAATCAGTTTTTCAAACATTTTCATAAGAGGAAACAGAAGAATTCCATAAGTAGCTTGAAGTTGCAAAGACCGTCAGCATGAGAACTCTCGGTTCTATAGCTGGCCAAACTGCTCATTCTGCTTCATCTTCTCTCGCATTTTATATTGCAAAGTAACAGGAGCACAGTCCAGTGGAGTTTCCCCTGAAGACGAGAAAACAAATTAGGCCTGACTAGCAGTAGCAGTGTTCGTTCTTCAATCTAGGAATCAACAAGTACATTCAACTAAACTCAAAGACAGAAAAATTAATATCTCCTTTCATCTATTTACACAACAGGCAAGAATCAACCCCCCTCTTCACAAGCTGGTTCCCATTGTGCCATGAATGTCCCCCGAACTCACTTTGTGAGCACGAGTTTAAAACTGAAGCTTTCCGCCAAACCTTACAATCTTTGGAAAGCAGGAAACTGTGACTTTTGTCATGTAGGTGTCCAAGAGGTGGTTCACCCTCAAAACTGGTGGCAACAAAAGGCCTGACCATTCTAACCAACACCCCATGAATAATGCCCTTGATAATTTTTGGATAACTAAAATCCGTAATAATTGCCTCCACTAGTCAACAACACAAACTATACTTTTTAAGAGGGTCAGGAATTGATTACCCTGAGCGTTCTTGTAGTACAGGCTGCCTCCACTGTCCATGAGTGTGAAAACTATCTCAGTTTGATTGAAAACTGCCGCCTACACCAAAATTAATCCGGAAATGAGTATCATATAATCAAATCAACGGAACTAAATAAGAGAACCCATTTTCAAATGTAGAAAAAGAGAGAGAAGTACCAGATGTAACAAAGACGACCCTTGCTTGTCATGGTAATTTGCATCCACACCCTGCCAACAACAGAGTGGATTAGCGTCCATTTTCAAACATTGATCTTATACAAAAATACTAAGTACCTGACTCAGAAGCTTCTTGACTGCAGCAGTGTCACCATTCTTTATCGCTTCTCTCAATCCCTAAACAGAGAACATATTAAATAAATAATCCAGAGCCACTAATTTCTTTCCATAAAATTGGAAATCCGTCAGTGCTTTAAGTAGACAATTCAAAAATTATACCTCCCCATTGGATTCGTAATTCATCTGAGAATTATCTGAGGTGCCATTGTACGCTTGACCACGATTGAACAAAGAACTAAAAATAGCAGAATGGAAGGTATAACAGAGTGTAAGAGATCGTACACAATATGGGATCAAGCTCACTTTGGTGTGTATCAATGAATATCCAATTATAAGAAAATACATATAGAATTTTGGTAACCCCTTTCTTGTACAGTATGAATACTAGGAAAATGATTTAAAGAAAAAAAAAGGAACGTTCGTGATCCCAGTCTGGATTTCAAAAAGAATGTCCTATAGCAACCTTTTATTCCGTGAAAAAAAAATAAAAAAAGAAAAAACCTTCTTAACTCAAGTCAGGATTGCTAAGAGTAGCAGTCTTTGAGAACCCAAACTAAAAACTATACAATAAAATACTACTTCATAATTTATATGAATAAAAGATGAGAACGAGTCATGCATAATTCAGATTCTATAATCATTCAGTATATCAGGAAGAGCCAGAGACATCAGAAGTAGCAGAGGCCACCTACCTAGGCTTGCTATTCGAAGTTGAACCTTTATTCTTGAAAGCGGTTTCACTTTTCTTTGGTTTTGGATTTGACTGTGGGACAGAGGTGGATAAGGGCTTCTTCTGCCACAAAACGAAACTAATCTGTGAGATGCAGGCATGGCTCAGTAGATACATCGATAGAAACTGTAAATTTTATACCTGGACGGGAAGTTCATCCACGGATGGGGCTGGAGCTTCACAGATGCATAGAGGCATTCCACACTTACACTCTACAACACCCGACACAGGTTGATATTCTGCAGTTGGCTCAGTTTTCATTTTTACATCATCGTCGATGGTTAAACTAGAAACCCCATCTGTTACAGAATCAGCTTCCCTTATAGAAGCTCGTATGTTGTCTTTCCCAGGTCTACCCAAAAAAAAAAAAAAAAAAAAAAACTCATAACTTTTGAAGCAAAATGGTATGTACGAAAAAGAAAATAAACAAGAAACAAGAAAAGGAAAAAGAAGATGGCAAAAAAAGCTAAAGGCTGCCAGCAAAGTTCTAAGACATCTTCCCAAAGCACATCTCATTTCTTAACCAAGATAGATACTTAGAATAAAACCGGCACCTCATAGTGAGTAGGAAGTAACAAAACAAGAGGTGATAATGCAGTCTCCTTCTGCAACTATGTCGTTTCTTTCAACTTTTTGTTTATTTTCCATTTCAATATCATTTTCCAGTGACGGAGAATAGGAAAAAAGACACGCTACAGTAGTTGAGATGCCATGAATCTCCACGAGATTAAAAAGACTTTGATCCTTGGCACGTCTCTAGAGATAGGAATTGAACTCTAAAAAAATTGGCAGCTTAAATAAGATACTTCTATGCAGATAAAGCGAATAGTTTGGTGACTAAGAAAGCCGTGAATCCTGATAAAAATCATATGGAGCTGGATCATTTACCTTGAGGAGTCATTAAAACAATCGGCACAAACTCTGACAGGCGAGTGAATGCCAAATTGTGGTAGAGCCTGAATACGTGATGGGAACATGATTACTCAATGGAATTCATGTATCCGTAAAATCAACATGAAATCAGTAAAATTTTTAGAAACCAAGAATGTAGGGCGGGACGTTAGGATAAGAAACCTTTACCATTTGATTTGAGGAATGTTCATGGCACAATGTCCTGCCACAACATCGACAATGATGCTGCAAAAACAAATCCAAATGAGGCAAATAAACTTGGCCATGATGACAGAGTTCAGTGCCCAAAGTTAGACTATTATTAACAAGAAAAACCGTACAAGTGACTTGTAACCATTTTTTTAAGAAACAAAACTTTATTGAAAATAAAACCGGCACAATTGAAGAGAACAAGGAGTCCCCACATTTACAAAAGAAAGAAAAGAAAAAATAAACTGAGCATCAAAACATTATAAAACCTAACAAAATTCCATAACATCTTTGATCTAGCCAATTAAAAATAATCAAAGAAAAAGAAAACTCTTTAAAGGCTTTGTCAGTAAAAGCCCATGTTAACTTATGACTTGAATGAAAGATAAAAAAAAAATGAAAAGAACAACTCAAGCAGAATACTATATTAACTGCATTTCCTATGTAAAGGATCTTATGAAGCTCAAAAATGACTGCTGATCTGTTATGACCGCCCGGATTTCAAACATCCTGGGAAACCTTTAAAGAACTAGTGGGAGTTAAGCCCATAAAAAACAAGACGATGAATCAACACTGTCAATCTAAAAGTGTGATCTCCTAAAAAATGACCTCCTACAAGCTCACACACCCAACATCCAGGACAAATTACCAACTTCAATCCATCAATGAGGTCAAAATCAACACATTGATCCTCATCCTCTTACTTGAATCCTGAGCCCGCTCCATTATCCCACCAAGAAAAATGCCCAAGATTTTCTCCTCTAAAAATTCCTATAACAAAAGTTAGTTTCTTGGAGCTTAACCACGCCCAGTAAAATCCCCAATATAGAATCTAAGAAATCATCATCAAGAACAACGAGGACTTTAGATTGACTCTTGAAATAATCCCAATTGGTCAAAATTCAAACTTTTCTGCGAGTCAGAAAATCACAAAGCACGAAACAGGAAATCACTGGACTTTGAATTAAGTCGAATTCATGAATATTCGCATGAAATAATGTATGAAATTATGAACGGAGATGAGATTGGGGTTGAGGATTACCCGTCGCCGGAAGGTGTTGAAGCTGCATTTGCAGACGTCGCAGCGCGCTGCTTCTTGGAAAGGAGGAGGCTCCATATCGCATATAGATATAGATTTGTGTGTGTATATATTATATATTTATGTGTGTATATAGAAATTGAATTTATATTTGTTTCCGATCCAATCGAGGTATTTATATGTTTGTGGGTGTTGATTGATTGGGTTTCGGGATCAACCGATGTTTGGGAAATCTGAAGATGATCGTCTCCGATTGTAGTCTTTTATTTTTTTAATTTTTAATTCCTAATTATATATGTATATTATTTCTTCTTCTTTTTTTTTTTTTTTTAGTGGCAACCGTGATTCCAAACTCTTTGAAAGTTTGATCCTTGTTCTTTTAACAAAATAAATCCCAACTCTCTAATCATGACAATCTAACGTTTTCATTTGCCACCCCTTCCCCCATAAATTTTCCTACTTATAGTATTCTTATGAAAATTTTCAAAACATTACAAATATGCCCTAAATTTTAACTTTTAAGCATCTCATATTTCTAACATAAATTACTAACTAAGTAAATAATCAATGAAATTACTGTAAGTTCACAATTTTGTAGATTATAAGCCTTAAAAAGTGAATTAACTCAATTAAAAATTGATTCATTTAGATTAAAAAGACATACAAATAATTAAATGAATATAAATTAATTATGATATTATTTTAATTTAGAACTTTGGTTTTGCTCAACTCTTTATTAGAAAAAATTTCTGACTCCGCACTAATCACAGCTTACAAGTGAAAAGTTTGATAACTTATATGTATCTCTTAGAATTTAGGCCAAGAGAAGGGGTTATAAATGAATATTTCTACAAATTAATGCTATCAAACTGATTGGTGGCAGTAGTCTCGGGATTGGCTGAGCCACGACGGCTTGATCTGGTTGCACTTGTCGCTGATGTCAACGATGGTGGCACAGCAGGAGGAGTCGATTGTCCGGTTAAACTGCTGGTGGCCGACGATCTTTTTGATGCATGGCGTTAGGCGCTTGAAATCAGGACAAGACTGCGGCGGCGGCAGAAGAGACGACGGTTTCGGCGAATTGGCAGCGGCAGAAGAGACGACGGTTTCGGCGAATTGGCAGCGGCCATTTCCGGGAAGCGGCAATGTTTCTCGCCTTTGTAGAACAAGAGACGAATACCGGGGGGACATTCGCTGATGATAATCTATGAACAACAACAACAATAATAATAATAATTGTCGTTCCTATGAATCTATGTTTTTGAATTTGAACGCACACTAGCAACGGATAATAACTCTTTTTTGAAATATACTTGAATCTTTTTTATAATGTATACGTCTCTTTTTATTGTTAGGGCTTGTCGCTAATAGCGGCACTTGTAAATAGAAATTTAGATCATGTTTATTCCATTAATTTAAATTTAAAATTTAAGTTTTATTATAATAAAAAATTTTCAGAAATAGTTACATATATTTTTTTTATTATAATAAAAAATTCTCATATAAAATTACATCTTAACTCAAATTAAAAATTTAAATCAGTGAATTAAACAGACTCTTAAAGTATTTGATCAAACGCTTATAAAATTTGATTAAGTAAGGGTCTTTTTTGTTTTTGTTTTTGTTTTTGTTTTTTTTGCCTTTAATGTTTGTACTTTGTTGTTTTCCTGCAAAAAAAAAAAAAAAAAAAAAAAAAGCCCAAGGACGAAAGGATATGATTATACGAGTGATGAAGAATATATTCAAGTGAAAGAACAATTAAATTTTTAATAGTCTCGACTTGACTATATATGTTAATTTGAATATATTTATCATTTTTCTTTTTAAAAAAATATATATGTATCATTTTTTTAAGCGTGATACAAATTTTGAAAGGATGAATTATGAATGCTATATGAAAAGTTTTCTTTTGCTTGAACATTGAAATATGATTAGTTTCGATACAGAAAAGATTCCTAAAAAAAAGAAAAAAGAAAAAAGAAAAATCGACACCGAGGTCTTATCAATGATGAAGATAATAAAAACTTAGAGAGCTACATAGATCTCTTATCTATAAGAATAGAGGATAAGTGTACAAAAATTGTACTTCAACCTCATCAATCCAATGGTTCAAACTTATTCATTTTTCACTTAGATTAGATTTAATGGTTTAACTTTAATCCATTTGGCTTATTTATCTTCTCACACCTCACACCCTACACTCTCACACTCTCACGCCACACCTTTTTTTTTAATTTATCTTAATAAATGATTATATAGAGAGTAGATTATGCACTTGTTTCTTCAACCATTTTTGTGATTCTATATAATATAACATTGTTGATTTTCGTTCACCATCATAATTTTTTTATGTATTTCCAATTTCATAACTTTTTCTAAAGAGTTTATATTTTCATTTTACAAATTGATATTATTTTTTAATTTGAAAACAATCATTGGTTTTTTTTTTTCCTACTAAAGTCATGGGTTAATTATATTTATTTATGTTCGTATTTCTATACTTAATGAAGAGGTAAATGTCATACAAGTTCAACTTCACGTTAAATTATAAATATTTATTTATATATTTTCATGATAATTGTATTGAAATTTTATTGTTAATCATACTCAATAATTTGCTAACAGGGAACGTGCCTAAGGCTCGTTCCTCACACTAGTATAGGGAGAAGATTTTTAATCAAAACTCCATCGAGTAAAGAGCTACAACTGAATAGAGAATAAGGCCCATCACTGTTATTCTAAAGGGATGTTTGTTTCATGTATCCGTCGAATCATGATTCATGATTCTCTACAGTGTTTTTCTCTCATAAAAAATTTAAATTTTAAAAATTAGAATCATGAATCATGACTCTGAATCCATAAACCAAACAGGCTCTAAACTATTCTCACCTTCCTTTCTATTTCTGTTTAAAAAGGGGCAGAGTTAGAGTTAGAAATTTTGCATCGGATGAGTTTTCTCTATAGTCATATTTCTCATTATATAGTTATGCATTTTAAAATTATATTAACTTATAATAAAAATAGAATATAAATTCTTTAAAAATTTAGACCAAAATGAATGGTTTCATGATAAAACTCAAACCAAATTCTTAACATATTGCCAACTGAATCCAAAAGTAATAAATAACATAAAAGTGAAAAAAGTTTAAAAAGGTCAAAATATAAACTTAAAGTATCCTTACTTATTTATTTCTAATAGCTTCAATTTTTATTGTTTGGTTGCACATTAATATGAAACGGAAGAGGGGTGAGGAGTACTTCTCCCGTCCCCACCCCGCCATGAATCAGGGACTAGATTTTGTCCTCATGTCCATTCCCATCTCCAATAATTGTCCCCCATTCCTGCCTCGTTTAGGGTGAGGTTCTGTCTTCATGGGGAGTATTGCTATCCTTATAAAATAAAATAGTGCAATCAATGCGATCGCAACAAATATACAAAACCTAATTAAAACAACAAAAGCTATATCATTAAAACAACTAATCAATTCATGGTTGAAAGTATAATTAGTGATAATTCTACACTTAATTCCACCGTATAAAGTGATGAGTTCTAACCCCTGTCCTCAGGTTAAAATAAAAAATCAATTCACGAGTCATGGGACGTATTGAACTTAACGCTTAGAGGTTAAATATGAACTTAAAATTACAATAGAAAGCCGCAACATGTTGGTCTTAGGTACTTCAACAAAAAAATAAACAAATGTTGGTCTTGGGTGAAAGTTCCCGCTTTCTATATTTCACTCATCTGCTGTTGTGGCCGCAGGCTGATCAAATGAAAAGCTCTAGTATTTCTTTATTTGCGCTCCACTAGCTGTTTTACGTTAAGTAATACGTGGAATTACTCTCGATATAACAGTAAAAACAATACAGGTAGGCGGATCGACTCATCAAATTTCTCATGAAATAAGATCGACAAAAGAAATTTCAAATTAGCATATGTTGTTAAAGGGAGTGGCGATGCCATAAATAAAAAGGAAGACACTCATAATAAATAGGGCCTTTTAACTTTCTCTTCATGATCTTACTTTTGATTTGTGATCATAAAAGTCAATTTATGAATATTACCTTAATCAACATAGTACTCATGTATATTTCTATTACATTTTTAATCTTCAAATACAAACACTACATCAGAATTTGAAAGCTACGAAAATTGCAGTATTCAGAAAGTCCATAATGAATATTCACTTATGTCTTTGTTATTAAATTTTTTTTTTTCCATAAATTGAGCCCAACTCATGTGAATCGTTCAGGAAAATGTCTTTTTTGTTTTTTTTGTTTTTTTAAGAATTAGAAACATTCAACCAATCATACGTTATAAACATTCAATCGTTACAGGAGTCTGATAGCGGGGGGCTTAATCATCTGTCTAATTATCAGTTTGTAACGTAGAACATGCCCATGTGGAAATTAATAGCGAGAAATATACATATATTTAAAACAATCTATTCAGCCAAAACAATACTCAATTATAAGGTTTAACATATCAATTGCAAATAAAACTCAAACTATCTCACTATGTATAACCTCAAGAAAATAAAATCCCATAATCTAGAAAAACCTATACGAATATGTAGCGGAAATAAATGAACTATTGAACACGAAGCAAAATTCCTAAATAGCTAAATCATATGGCAAACAAAACAACAAACTAAGGGATGGAGCATTGTTGTCGGAGCCAGTAAGGGTAGAAAAGATCCGTCAATTGCTGAGACAATTGGCTGAAGCAATCCTCGCCCCAACTGGACATGGAGGAGCAGCAAGCCGGTCCGATTCCCCCTCTATTAATGTCGAAGAATCCGGACATGATTTCGTTAATGCAAGACGGCACGGTGTCAAGGAAAGACCAACAATCATTTGCACCTACTTGTGGAGGAGGCAGAACAGATGATGGTGGTGGTGGGGGCAGCGGGGATGGCTGACTTTGCTCGGGATGTTGGCAGTAGGGTACGGATGCAGGCCAAACTTCAGACCAAGGGGTACCTTCCCCAACGGGGCAGGGCTCGGTGGCGTACGCGTTGAGGATGGCGCAGCAAGTGGAATTTATCGGACTGCGCTTATCTTTTTCGTGGCCGACATATTGGGGCATGCATTCCAAATATGCATTACGAGTAGGAATATCGGAGCAAACACTCGAAGCCTGAGGCTGCGGCGGCGTCGGTGGTTGTGACGGCTCAGTCGGCTTTGGGAATTTTGGAAAATCAAAGAAATAAAGTATTCTCCTAGACGGGGGTTTGGCGGTGGCTCCATCGCCATAAGATTGGCGGCAGTAGTCGCGGGGTTTGGTGAACCACGGCCACGTGATGTCGCTGCACTTGTCGCCGATATCAACGATGGTGGCACAGCAGGAAGAGCCGATTGTCCGGTTAAATATACGGTGGCCGACGATCTCTTTGATGCACGGCGGTAAGCGCTTGAGATCGGGACAAGCCTGCGGCGGCGGCGGCAGAGGAGACGAGGATTTCGGTGGAGTTG